TGTAGTTCGTTATAGTTTGCTGAAGTTATCCTAGTTTCATGTAGTTGATGTTTATGGTACGTGTACCAAGTAAATCAGTTACACCAACTTCACGAGATGCACCGATCTAACCTGAGTGCACCCAACGGAACGAACTACACCAATAGCGCCGAACTATACCTACAGGAAATACAGGGATTACACTCACTACAAAGACCACACGGGCTACAAAACTGTACTAAATGAACAACGTACTCTGCTTTTACTTTGCATACGGTTTATAAATTGTGTAAACCTGTTTTTGAACCACAGATGAACCAGTATAACCTGACCAACCTTAGGCCAGGAACACGATACAGGGTAAAAATTGCGCCATTAATGAACGATGGAAAATTAAGAGGAGTTTACTCCAGCTGGGTAAAAGTAAGGACTCTGCCAGGTAAGTGTCTAATAACCAAGTATCGTGTTCTACTCGACCCTACCCTGTCTCCCTCGTTTTTCACTCCTCTGCTACAATAGCGCAGTTTACTATCGCACTTCATTTTATTAACAGGCTAGGTTTTCAGGGGAGACCGGAGAGGAGATTAGTCGTCGCCAACAGAGTATAAAGGGACTACAAAAAATTGACTGCCAATTACTTCCACTTAGGGGGGAATCATCAGAATATTAAAGAGCATTATGGGGTTATCAGGTGATTTTTTTTCATGACACAACCAAAATCCTCCACACCCCCTCCCCCAGGTGATAAATAATGATCGGCCAACATGCTTACTGTCCATCTGTGCTTTTATAGACATCAAGAACGCTTCAAACCAAAACAATGATTTGACAGCTCAGTCACCGAACTCGTCTCAAGTCCCCGGTCACTGCACACGCATCCCCAACGTGTGTGAAAATGTCGGTTACAACTACACGCAGCTGCCGAACAATTTCAATCAGAGGAACCACGAAGATGCTGGGCACGAGTTTTCGCAGTTCACTCGTATGATCCAATCAAACTGCTCAACAGTGCTTCACGTGTTTTTGTGTTCATTGTATTTCACACCATGCGCCTATGATGCTAACGCTGTCACGCCCCCATGCCGCTCGGTATGTCGCGCGGCTCAACGTGACTGTGAGCCTTGGCTGAAGAAGACTGGGTTTGGTTGGCCTTACAAATTCAAATGCAGTTCATTTCCTGATCCCAGCGATAAGACCTGTGTTAGCGAAGATGGCACCATAAACCACGGTAACAAGTCATTTGCTTAACACGCACGAATCTGTTCAATTTGACTTGTACATAGATTCTGATGAAAAAAGTGAATTGGGAGGCATTCTTCCAGGAAGGATGTAAACGTTCAAATAGTTGGTGGGGTATCAGCTAGGACCTTTTAATCTTACTTCTAGCATAAATTTTCCCTCGGAAAGCTTTCGCTAAAAATGCACCTCTCTGTCTCTGATACTTCATTAAGCGCCAGCGAGGATCCTGACTCTCAGCGCGTGAACTTTTATAGGGTAATGGCTCTTAAAGAGTTTTCTCCCTTTTCTTCATAGTAGTAGAACCAATTGTGGTACCAAAGCAGTGTTATGCACTCAACACCGATATGTGTAAAGACCTGGGCTACACCCTTGTTCAGATGCCAAACATCTTCAAACACAAAACACAGAACTTGGCCAAGGAACGGATTAGGGAATTTTACCCTCTGGTGCTAACAAAGTGTTCCCCGGTGCTTCGCTTTTTTCTGTGTACGCTGTATATACCTCCTTGTGTCAGCAACGTGAACGAGTTGATCCTTCCATGTCGAGAAGTCTGTGAGGAAGCAAGGCGGGGCTGCGAACCTATTATGTTGCGAGCTGGATTTAATTGGCCAGATGCTATGAAATGTACGCCAAAGTTTCCTTTGAATCGCTCAGGTTTCTGTTTTAAACCAAAGCCTAACAATACAAAAGGTGAGCTGCATGTTATTTACTTTTAAGGTTATGTCCGTGTTGCTATCAAAACTTGCTGGAAAGGAAAGGAAATGCTACTTGCGTATTAATGCGGTAAAATGTTCATTTTACAAGTTATTCCATCGAAGAAAAAATACAGCCATTAACGCTACTGCTTGACTCAGTGTTATTCTATAATATCATGCTATATTCCGTCACAACCTACTTTTACCGAACGTTTTCGAAACTTGTGTGTCACAGCCATTACAAGTGGCAACTAAAAATAGTAGCAGGTGTTATTAAATTCCCTCTGAAAATTATGAGAGAAAATCTTACCGGTTAGCACCCTCACCCCATTTTCTTCTCCGTATGCCGGTAAGAAGACCTAAAGTTACCTCCTAATCAAAGAAAGAAACCCATAACTTAACTACTCTTATTTTTCTTCCTATCCAGACCCAGCAGTTTCTCGGACACAGTCACACTGTCAGCCCCTCAAGATTCCATTCTGCAGGAGTCTTAATTACAGCAACATTATTTTACCAAACCTATTGAACCACACAAGCCAAATAGAGGTGAATACCACCCTTAACTCCAAAGGGATGAGTTCACTTATGAGGTCGAAGTGCTCTCAGCATCTGAAAAGGTTCGTCTGTTTTCTTCTTGCTCCATACTGCACGTCTGATGGAAAACCTCTACCTCCCTGCCAATCATTTTGCGAGAAGGTGAAGAGAGATTGTGCAAATGAGTCTGATCACTGGTTGGCTAATTTGAACTGTGCAAAATTTCCAATCTTGTCGCGCAAAAGACTCTGCTTTGGAGATCCACAGACCACTATGGACTGTGTTGGTCCGCATAGCAGACCTTGCACGGGTAAGAAATACCATTTGTCCACAACATTGTTTGTTTGTTTGATCGTTTGTTTACTTGACTACTTGTTTACTTTTACGCTGCTCGCGTATTTCAGTTACTTTCTCTGCGTTCTTGATTACTTATTTTTCTCCTTATCAACTTGTTTACTTGTTTACATGTTTAGTTGCTTATCTGTTTACATGTTTACAATTTTTTTTTAACTCTGCAGTGATTTCATCCACGTTTCCGATCATCTTAAAATGTTCACCGCCCGCCACACGATTCGTAATTGACGAAGTAACCATCAACCTCTACAACGGAACACGTATACTTGTGTCTCCAACATCGAACGTTCTTCGCGAATGCAACGGAAACAGCCGAAGAGTTAATGGTAGATACGAATGTCAATTTAGCGTCCAATATAGCAAGTATGGAATCGGCATGCAAGCTGTGAACACAGTCACTGTGAAATATCACTGTCGTAAGACCTGAGTGACGGACAGGAGAAGTTATAACAATTTCGCGTTTTTTTTTTTTTTTAACTGCTAGCATTAGCCATGTTGGGATTCGAGTCAGGAAACACTAGAAAGAGTGCATAATTTTTTTTCATGTGTTTTTATTCTTTTGTAGTTTCTTACTCGAAAACATTAGCTGTTCGATGAGTATCCTGTTAAAAAGAAGTTCGAACAGACGAGTTTGTGTTTTTAGGTTATATTTTTTCCAAGACTTTGATGACGTATATTATTCTCGCTTCCTATTGAGGTCAGTTACAGGACAAATTAGACTGCGTGGAGTACATCTGACATAGAACATATTCATGGTACAGACAGTGACGACGATCACGGGTGGAAACGGATTTGGAACGCATTGGATGTTGACGCAGCGAAAGTCTGAGTGTTCAGGACCCTCCATGTTTGCATGGTCCAACGTTCAATGGCTAGGACAAATTTTGCGAGAGTTGGGTTTGACTGACAAATGAGGAATATGTGGGAGGGGTAGGGCGCCAGTTCTTCAAGTCAACCCTCCCTCCCCCCTCCCACCTCAAACGCGCGCTCCACTCTTGTACTCTATTACGCGATTAAATTAACGAAGAGGTTGGGAAATATTTCTACAAATATCACTAAGTTTCATAAATTAACATGATCGTTTTTATCTGTAGATCAGTACTTTGCACTTTCTTTTCGACGAAATCTACAATAAAAGTATTTTAAAAGCCACCGAAATAATTCAGGGAAATCGAAGAAAAATACCAGCCGATGATTATTTCTCCCGGCCTAATCAACAAAATTGCGTCGGTGCCAGCTATAGAATCGGTACACTTTCTTGTTTATAGCCTGCAAAGCTGTCACAATAGTTCGACACACAAATAGTTGGATCAAAATATTTTCCCGATTATTTGTTACAAGATTTGATCAGTTTTCGTGGTTACAGCGTCTGTTGTAGCCACCAAAACTGATCGAATCAATTTTTCCTCAAATGGTTTGATGAGGTTTAAAGTTTTGGCGAGTAGCACGCTGTTTTGTTTCTCATGACCGATGTTGTGTTTGAATGTTTTGTTACATTTATCAGTTTGCCGAAATTTAAATCGGTTGAGTTAAACACGCAATTGATGCCGAACTGAAAATGAAATTAAAAATTAGTTGAGTATTCTTTAATAAAATTAATGATTATTTCAAAAGAAAAATTTTCGGCGTATTTTTGCCATTATAATCTTGATCACTTGAACAGTTCCAGAAAAGATATTCTCACAGCGTAGGAAACCCACGGTCGATTAGATTCCTAACTCATTATAATCGAATCATTTTTTCCGACCAACAACCTGCAGCTTACCACATCTGACAATTTTTAAAATCTACAGGAGTGCTTTCTAAATTTCTGAAGCTGAAATACTGAAACAGCTGCTTGTTTCTTGAATTAACTTTTGTTTTAATGTTATCATTATTTTTGTTGTCTCATGCTTCAACTTTTCAACCATTTTCCCAGTTTGCTTTTGATGGTTTAATCCAAAATGTAATTAAAGTCTGGCCAATAAACGCCACATTTTAAACGAATTTTGTTTTAAATTCTGTATCTGCTGGTCAAGTATCCACAAGTAACAAAGCTTATAACAAAGAGGGAAAAATTACTAAATGCTGATTGGCTGAGATAAGGCTATTTTCATTAGTTTCGGTAATTGTCTCGGGCACAATTACTTGAAATTAAAAAAAATTAAAAAAGGCTTAACTTTTCCTTAAAATAATAATTTCTTTATTGGGAATGTGACTTTAGATAGCGCTGTGGTGGCAAAGTAAACATAATTCTGCTGTTTTTAGCTTTCATAGACGCTAACTGACCACTGAAATAGCTCACTACGAAATCGCTCAACAGCGTGAAATTTTGACCTACCCGAAAATTTTGTCCTTTATGTTGTAAAAAGTCCCAGTTATCGGGTTTTTTCTCGTAATATCACTTGTGTTTCCAGAAATGCTCAGAATTACGTGACTCAGGAAATTTCTGCAACTTTGAAAACACGCGTGATATTGCTCCATAATTTTACTCGGCTCCTTGCGAGTGCCCACGTGTTGAACTTATCGAAAGAGAGTCACGTCATACTTAAAATTTGGATCGTGACATTAACTTCGAAAGTTCGTAATTTCCAGTGGGCGTAAATATTGGTAATCCTTAGTCATAACTGTTATGTTTTTGGTTTATTATTGGCTATTTCCGTCGTCCGTCTATTCCATCAACTATTTTTTTCAAGGTTTTATTCTATTCTAAGGTATTTCCCTTTGACGGTCACAACGAGTCGAAATTCCTTCACGGAAAAAAATCGCCGAGTACCTTCTGTTTACGTTAGTTTTGATTAGATACGTGCCTGCTGCGAACATCAACTACTTCGCCACGGCGACTGAAGGAATTTCTTCTAGAAGACATTGGCTTTCCCAAGTTCAAGGTTCTAACTATAGCCTTACGAATATTTCTCAATCGATAACTATATACAAAAGGATTTATGGATGAGTTGACAAAAGATAATGTCTCTATGCAAATGTAAGTGAACTTGACCGGTCCGGTAAATCCAAGCATGGCATAAGCCACAAGATAACAAATGAATGGGATATAAAACAAAGCAACCAGTCCTATTACATACGCTGCTGTTACTGTAAACGTTTTATACCGTTTCATGTCCGCTTCGGCCATTTTGCCGTGAAAATGGCTTCTCAAGCTCTCCTCGTGGTCGATTCTTCGCTGGTGGAGCTTGATGACTTGAAATATCCTAAAGTAGCTCACAGCGATGATAGCCAAATTTGCGAAAACGAGGATCGAGGCTATAATAAAGAATACCTTGTTGGAAAGACCGAAAAATCTCGGCAGGTAAATTATGGCGCACACTACCCAAAAGCTGAACACCAAGCGCAGGATACGTCGATGAGTAACAAGCCTGGTGTGCTGAAAAGGCTTTAAGAGAGCAACAAGTCTCTCTGCACTAATAGTTGTCAAAATAAAAAATGATACACTCGATATTATCCAAGCTAAGGAGTTCTTGGCTAGACGGATTCTGCAGTAGATCTCGATGTTTTTTGTTTCCTCCATGATTCTTTGAACAACGTCTAAAGGCTGAACAACAGCGCCAACAAGCAAATCAGAAAAGGCCACCGAACAGAGGAGAGTATTCTGAGCGGTATGAAGACTTGGTGATTTCCACACTGATATCAAAACGATAGCGTTCGATGACGCGGCAATGAACGCAAAAATCGCATTCACAACGCACGCTACTATATTTGCCACACTGATGTAAGGCAAAGGCTGAAGATTTGTGTCCAAAAATAAGCAGTTTGAAGGTGAAATATACGATATGTTATCCGCCATCACAGTCGTCGATCTCCTCTTTCAACCAATTTAAGTCTTGAACTTTTAACGTGACCCCAGTAAATGCTTTATAGTTTCTCCTTACATCACGTATGTAGGATTAAAATTCGGCAAACGCGTAGATAATTGTTTATCTACTAGATAGAAAGCAACATTTGTTCTATAACTTGCTATCTCTCTGACGAGAGCTTAGTAATTTAAATTTAGATTTACATCGACATTGTTTATATCTGGCCCCGCCTTTCCGCTTCCAGCGCGTCTAAGAGGGATATTTTGCGGGTTTTCCGTGAATAATGTTCAGTATGTTTAACTAATCAAACAAATAACACCCTCGTAAGTCGTTTTCCGCCTTCCGAGAACAAATAAAAAGGAAATGGTATTTAAGTAGCTCAGCATTGACTTCATCTCTGACGTTGAGATAAAATTACAAATTCAATTTTATTTTCATATTTTAATTTGAAAAATTTCAATGATGATTGAAATCAAACGCCCAGGCACTTCCTAGGGAACAAGTTCGTGTAGTGTTGCATGTTGTTTCACAATTATCCTTTGTGCATGACTGGAATTTAATTACAAATTAACATAGGATACCTGAAAAGATTGAAATACAATTTTTTTCAAAATTTAAATTCGAGAAATGAATCATTTTCCAATGTGGATAAAATTGTTTAAAAAAAACCTCAAAAACTAAAACAGAATCGAATTGTTTAAGAAAAGTTTCTTTAAAAAAAAACTGAAGAGAAACTGTTCTGCATCTTGCTTGGTCTGTTCTGGCGATGTCTATTTTTCGATACACGCCTGCGCATTACAGCCTCTTTTTTTCACGGGCATTTTCTGAGTGCCACAAGCGGTGACGCTGGCCGGCGTTTTGTCATCAGATCGCACACACCATATGTCTCGTGTTTGTAAACCTGATGATCAGATCAAATCTTTACTAAAAGTTCATATGGATAGAAACAAAGTAGGAACTTAAGAGAACCTTATGGAAGGGGCTTCTTTTTCTATGTGAAGATCTAAGCAGCGTGTAAATGGATAAAAACTCAAGGTACACAGACATGAACTTGAACGCAACTGAATATAAGTCAACTCGGAAAGGGAACGAAAATACGACACAATGACTCTTGGGTAGAACAGAAAAAGTAGGTGCCAATTTCAATCGCGGATCAGCGTGGATTAAGACTATCTTGATTAGATCAAAATACCGATTGAAACATCTTTTGCATTCCCAGCGTGATGCACTCGAATTAAACCTCACTCACCGGTCGAACAAGATACTGAGCAAGGAGACCAATTGCTGGTTTTCCACTCAAATGTGGTACTTGATTCACCTGTGGTTTCATATGCAAACAGCGGTCTACAATAATGGTATCGCACTCCTTTTGTTCCCCGCCGACCATTCCTTATCAACTGAGAAAAAAAAATGGTCCGGTGAGACCCACTGGTGTGTTTGAATCCACACCGGGGAGAAGATAATATGTAGAGACATAAGAAAATCTCTGTGCATCATCCTCTGAAGTCATATTGGGCACTCAGTAGACATGAATCTCAATCGAGGGCGTAGCAAGGGGGGTCCTTGCCTCGTTTATATATTTATACAGCGCAAATTAACATACAGGAGGATGTGTTCAAATGCGCTTTTACATGTAAAGTTACAAGCTTCTTTTTTTAAAGAAAACAACCTACAATATTCAGGTGGCGAAAACTGGTGAGTACCCTCTTTTTGACACAGTTTAACCCCCCTTTGAAAAATACTGGCTACACGCCTGTCAATCATTTTAATGTTCGCACATGCGCAGGCGTTTGACCGCTCTGTTGCACCAGCCATACCAGCACCAAGATAATAGCTGCCTGATACTTTGATTAACTTACCACAACCCTCAGAGAAGCAGTGGTGGGTCCTTCTATGGCCAGCTCGTCTGCAGATGAAGTTGTCGGTTGAGAGAGAGATATCCGAGCTCCCGCTGCGTGAAATATCTTCCCTTTTCGAGGTGTGCGACTGTTTCCCTTTGATAAGTACTGACCAGCAGAATTTTGAACACCTGTAAAAGACAAAACGTTATTCAGTGATAATAATTCAAATTACTGTCTACGATAGAACATTCTCCGGCTAAGAATATTCTCCAATATATGTAACAAACTAATGAACGGATTTTTTGCCAATAATAAGTGATTATACGGTTAAGAATATATGAAAGTCATATATTTGAACTGCGGATAAAGAAATGAATGAAAGTGATCCTCGCAGTGATGTGCACTACTTAAGCAGTAGTGAAAATAAGGCCTGAAAAAAAAAAAATTTCAGGCCTGTACGGGATTTGAACCCATACGATACCGGTGCAGCGAAGCTAACAAGCCCTGGGAGCTGGTCAAGCGTGAAGTGATGAATAGACGGTTAAGAATATATGAAAGTCATATTCACGTCTTTATCCGCAGTTCAAATATATGACTTTCATATATTCTTAACCGTATATTCATCACTTCACGGGTTTATTTAGAACCACTATCATGACCAGCTCCCAGTTGGCTTGTTAGCTCAGTTGGTAGAGCGCTGCACCGGTATCGCAGAGGTCATGGGTTTAAATCCCGTACAGGCCTGAAATTTTTTTCAGGCCTTATTTTCACTACTGCCTATGTAGTGCACATCACTGCGAGGATCACTTTCATTCAATAAGTGATTAATTTGAGAAAACTCGACTGGATCACTTACTAAGCACGTTTACTATGAGGTAGCCTTGAAGCAAGCCATCATTATCAGCGCTTAGGCACGAACGTTTCTTCTAACTCAGGAAATATATAGCTTCGCGGAACGCGAACCGGTGATAAGTTTGAAAGGGGTCTAACACTGATAATGAGGAATGCCATGCAAGCAGAATCCCGGAAAGCCTCTCTCCGACTCGTCTAAAATCTTACCGCGGGCGGAGAAACACACGTCCTGCAGCGCTAATAATGATGAGGGCTTGCACGTAGATTAACTACCAGGGGATAAAATTAAAATGAAATGTCTATTTTGCCGTGACTCACTGACCAATTGCATCGGGTGTCCTTTCCATTTCCTTGAACTTTGCATTTAGGGTTCCTACCGGTAGTTCCACAATAACACGCGCGTTTCTTGGTCCTGGAAAAAAAAAGCTGAACTCGAGCTTTGACTATTGCTAGTGTGTAGTTTAAAAAAACATAAACTTTGACGCAAGAAAAACAGAAATTTCTACCGTACTTTTATCATTACTCTTTTTTGGCATTCATTTTTCTGATTACAAATTTGTAACAGAAGTCTTTATGTCTTACTATCTCCCATGATACGTTAAGTAAGACTCACCAAGTTTATTCCATTGTTCAGTAAAGTTTCCTGTCACATGTACGCATGATGTACCATTTCCGTCACAAACTCTGCATCTGTCAAACCTCGCACCAGACCCCAGCTCATGGTCGCAACCTACCGACTGAAATGGGTTAAGCATGGTCAGTATCGAATAAAACTCGTTTACACGAGTTAAAAATGTTTCCTAACGATTCTTAAACTGCTACTACTAAATACGAATGGTTTATGGGCATGGCTGGAGGGGAAATGTGTCCACAGTTGCGCCTTTATCGTCTATCAGGACTCAAGGATGAATTATCATATCTGAGTAGTCGTCACAATACGGAAAATGAAATATAATTGGACAATGCGGCAAATTTCCAATGAGTTTTTCGCTTGGTGGTAAAGCGACTGGTTTTTCGTTCAGTTGGGGACGATGAAAGCCACCACGCATGACGCGTTCTACCTGGCAACGACCTTGAATACAGACATCTAAACCGTATCTTGAACAGCGCGTTCCATCATCAACGTTACCAGCTTTACGCCATCTTCGTCCTGATCCACAATACAGGCCACAAGGATCTCGACAGGATAAAAGTGATGGAAAAACATCAGTTAGTGACAAAGCCACATAAAGCGGGTCGGAGCAAGACGTCGGACAAAAAGTTAAAATAAAACTGGAAACAGAAAAGCGCCTCTATCTAGTATCTTGTAAGTTGATTACAGCACTAAAAATGACTCCCCGTTATTAGCTCTTCAACGGAAGTCAGTTTCGACGACATAATCGAAAATTATCAGCTGATAATGTAAATTGGCCACCCTAAAGAGTTTCAAAGCTGACGTTTCGAGCGTTTGCCCTTCGTCAGAGCGTATTTTTGATCCTCCTCGATCATCTGAAAAAGGATTAGTCTAACCTGATTGAAAGATAATTCCTTTGTGCCCGGCGTTCCTCTGTCGACACTGTAAGTCTCTGTAACTCGTGTGGCTTCTCCTCGGACACGGCTGTGGTTATTTTAAAGTAATATGTTGTGTTTTTTTGCGAACAGAAAATTACTCCTGTTTAAGCAATTATCCTTCTATGGAAAAAGTAGCAAGTTAACAACCTCTGCCCCCATCGAAATTTTGGTTTCATGCAAATAAAAAAGGGAGTCATTTTTATTCGTTATGTTGCTGAACAACACCCATTTTTTTTTTTATCAGATGATGACCACGTACACATTTGATGCCGCCGCACGCTTAATCTGTCGGTTTCGGTAAACCTATTTTGTATATTTATTTCCATGCGCGAAAACAAACTTCTTTATCACCAACTATCCATAGCTAAAAAATAATTTCTCCCTTACTTGGCGAGAGCAGATTCTCCATTCCCGAACAGTTCCTTTACATGAGTGTTGTGCGTTCCCATCAGTGCTGTGAATGATACACAAAAAGTAGCTGGCAAGTTCACAACAACCAATCAGAAGAAGGAAAATAAAGCATCATGGGGAACCGGTGAGGACTCAAAATAGAAACAAGAAAACTGATTGAGGTGCAAGAAAACGCGGAAGGCCAATTTGCGATTGGTTTTCGTTTTGAATCTGATTGGTCGAGGAAGAGGTGTGGGGTTTCTGGACCAATCACAGAGTTAAGCAAAGCAAAACCAAGACAATCCCGCTTTGTTTCGACACTCGATTCCCAAAATGAAAATCAAGCCACGGCTCGAACCCAATTCTCGTTTCGGTGGCCAGCGGTTTAACCACCATGCAACTCTGTTCCTCTTACTTTGCACTTTGAAAATAATCAAAGACAAAAATATTCATTATAATATACCTGACAGATGAACAGGTTTTTTCTTTAAACTGCACTCCACCCCCACAACTCCTGGAACAAGGAGACCATTTTCCAAGCTTCTTTGCCTCGTCACGTAGCACACAGAATCCAATCATACACCACTGGAGAAATTTCAGAAACAATTATCAAAAAAGAGGAAAAAAAATTCCTGTTATGACTGGTTATATTGAGTTTCTTTACCATACATCTGTCTTTTTATCATACCATGCTGACTTCATAAACTTTTTCCATTATTTCTATCTCTTTTTTCACTTGTTACATTTGAACGTAAAATTTCTCAAAAGGTATCAGTCAATCAATAAGCTGAACGAGAGTTCACGAGCTATATGTCATTCATCACAAACCACAAAGCTGTAGCATCTCTTTCTTTCCCATTTATCTTGTTCTCTTGTTGTTGCCTGGTTATATAAAATAACACGGTCTTTACCTTATTGACTCCACAATCTGTGCCATCAGCGACTCTTGAATCAGCAGAGAGAACAGTTCCCTTACCATTGTCACACCACAGTGTTCCGCAGTCTTGCTGTTTTAATTAGAGAACAAACATGTCATTAAAAGTTATGCCGACCACAGTTGATTCAAAGTCTACATGCAATACTCAACGACTTAGCTGCCGCACCTTCTCCTTTATTTTTTGTTACTCCTTCTGCAAAAGGATGCTAGTCAATGGCAGTTTACCCACCCCACCCTTCCTTCAAAATTTCGTCAGGTTCCCACGACGTGCAAATTCCCGCTACAAATTTATACTCCCGAATGGAAAAAGGTACTGCCAAAGTGACGGAGTGTCCTGTGCAGGAAATGCGACGAAGAGACCCAAGGGGGCTATATTCACGACCGTTTTCAATCCAGTGTAAAGGACGCTGAACCACGAATTCTCCTGTAGAGAGCTTTATGTTGCGATATAGATTGTAACTGTAGAGTGAAGTGGAGATCGCTCCTTCTCTCTCAAGGATGGTGGCCATTTTTACGTCAGATGTGAGGAATTCAGATAAACAGGAAATTGCGGAACGATAACTCGAAAAAAAGGAAATATTCAGACTTGTTAACTTTTGTCTGTTTCTTAGACACTTCAGGGAAAAGAAGACTCGCAGGTTTCATTGGAACCAAGAGACGTCGTTCACACTCATCATCATTATACGTACCCTAAGTTTCTCCCTTGAAGCATGCTTAAAATCCTCACTAAAAGCTTCTCTGCACTGTTGGTCTCCATTAATGATCTCGCCTGGTAGCTTGCCTCTATTCCGTGGGGGTAGGGTTGGGGCATGTGCTAAAACTGGTGGGTCGTTAAGACACCATGAACGGTTACTGAAAGAGGAAGTTACACGCTAAGTGTAGCTCAAGAAACTTCGAGTAAGTAGTTTAAATCGAATGATGTGACACCTGTATGACGGAAAGAAGAGAACCAGAGCGCGAGTTAGCGAAGAAAGAATTCCAGAACAGCGTTCCGCACGATCGTTTTGAAATGGCCATTTTTTTTCTTAAATTGAAAAATAAGAACTGAGAGGATGATATTAATCTTTCCTTGAACACTTAGTCAAGGTAGACGTGAAATTCGTTACTTACCCTGAGTTCAAAAATGTTTGAATTCTTGTCCTGCTGCAAGGTGACCACATATAACTCGTCGGAGCTGTGTTTTTCTCTGATGACATGATATACTTGTAATTCGGACAATCAGCACCATCAGCACTATCATCGTCGTGATCCAATCCCATACTGTACATGAATTGTAAAAGAAAGAAAACTCAAGAATGAGTATGTGTAAATTCATGTCCAGGTTCCCTATTTTGCCACCCGGCCTCACCTCATAGACAACAAAGAAGATTTTCCGAACAAAGCTCTTCTGTTGCCATGCAAATAAATAGTTGTTCCCTTAAAATGAGACCTTCATGGTAAGCCTCATAAAGTACACGAACTAAAGTATATCACATTTTCAGATGCGTTAAAACGTTAGCACATTCCTACCGCATTTCCTGTGTTCCCTGTCTCATTCGCTGCTGTTGTAGGGGTAGGGGGTGGGGAGAGAGGATTGCCTGACAAGACCAAACAACGGTTGCTAAGGAAACTCGGGGTGTTGCATATTAAGCCTGATATCTTCCATGTTGTCAGCAAGCAAATTTGCATACTGCATTTAGTCTTTCAACAAACATATTCCCAAAAAAATAAGCTGCGAATTTTCCTTTCTGATGGAAAGAAAAAAAGAAGAAGAAGCTGGCGCAATACTCACTTGTGTCCAATTCCATGCGCGATGTACCAAGCAGTTCCCAGTCCAATATCAGTGACAGCAGACGCAGTCACCTGACGACACATAGTGTTTGCACTACTCTTGACTGTAAGAAGAAATTCAAAAAGTAAAAACTAAAGATAGATTTCTTCTAAATGCTATAAGATAAAACATTCAAATAAGGAATATTGTAACGTACCCGCTCTATCAGGTCCGCTAGTAAAAGCAAAAAAGATATACTGGTTAGAAGTATTAAAATTAAAACGGGAGAATTGCGTCTCTTGTGGTATTGGTTGTTAGGGCGTCACTCGACATTTTTTTAAGGTTTCCCTGACAATGACCTTAAACCCATTTATACTCCTGGGTGGGATTACAGCGCCTCGACCCTGGGTGGGATTACAGCGCCTCGACCCTGGGTGGGTAGAGGAATTGTGAGAGTAAAATGTCTTAACCAGAAACACAACACAGTTATCTGCCTTGAAAATAATCAGACCACTATCTTATACACATCCTCAAGTTACTGGGGCTTAAATCCCCCTCTCATTAACTTTTCTAAAGCGTTCAGATAGTTATCAGGGCACTATAGTAGCGCAGCACGAAAAAGAAGAGAGAGGCTCAGGACCCATGCACGCTTCAACCCGCATCTTTTTATTCTCCGAGCATCTATCTCGTTCCGTTTACAGGTATTGATAGAACGCTACAGGCTACAGGCTACCTTCTTTTCATCAGGCCGGTCGAGTGGCACATGGCAATACATCCTTGAAAAAAATTAAAGGAAAGAATGACTAATTGTATTTACTTTGAAATGAAGGTGACCACATCAAAAGGACGCTGTCTTCCATACTGCGTCCTCATCCATTTGATCACTCGCACCAGCTTCAATTGGTTAGAATCAGAACTCTGGATTCCCAGCTAAGAGAATAAAATCGTTATAATAATGAGAGTCAAAATGTAAACTTTTCCAAAATGAGAACTAATTTTGGTTCGTGTGGGGTTCTGAATGATCAAGTAATCCTGTATTAGAAGGGCAAGTTTATCCCTCAAGCCTTGCGCTAACTCGAACCAAACTGAATTTCACCCAGATATCCATCATGCAATAACTTGACGTGGGTAGTGAACAAAAAGAACGATCACCTCTGTCGATGAATCGTAAAAATCATTTGTTTTTCCTTTACCTCTTGGGGTCGCAAGACCAAAATCCTGTTGATGCTGTATCTTATTTTTGTGGCTCCAATGGATTCATCCTGAAACAAACCTGCAACCTAAGGAACAACAAGATTTACCAAGATATTTGAAGTGGAAGCGCAATGCGGAACACGTACGTCACATGTGACTCGCACGTGAGTCGCACGTGAGTCGCACGTGTATCATAGCGGGCAGGCCCTCTCGGATACTTACAATATTAGCCATGACAAGGAGCCTTTGAACAGTCCCATTGTAACCGTATTTGTCCTCCATGTCGGTCAGAACAACCAATGCAGCTTCTAAATATTTTTTCACGCCACTGTCCAAGGATCGTCTCTGCCTGAGTCTAGGCATCACAGAAATCTTGATCACCAGATGCGGTAACGTTTTGAAATTGTCAGTCACGTGTCTGGCCAGTCGGGCGGGAAGAGGACGGACAAGAAGAGTATCACTCGATGTCCGTATGATACCAGTCTGGTGAGGAGGGTACAGATAATTATAGTTTAAGCTACCAATGTTCCTTGACTGGCTTATCAAAATCACAGTTTACACTTAAGACTTAACCAGGAGTTAACTCAAAGAAAGCAGAATTAGAACCTTTATAAGACGGAAACTTTAACAGTGGTAGGGAGCTGCTTTTATGTGCGAGATGTATGCCACTTCTCCCTGAAAACCAAACCCTGCTCAACCCACTCCTCGTCAATGTAATCTTAAAAGAATTTTGTTTACCAGTCCTCCCAATTCGCTGACGGCCACCACAGAGCCCGGATCCGAAGAAACATGTCCTAGGTAAAAAGTATTTTCTGGTACAGGATGTGAAGTCATCGTTCCATTGGCGTTTTGAGTCTTGACAGTGAGCCCATGATTCATCAGTATACCATTTCGTGTTAATGTCACATGAAGCTCCTGGCCGAACGCGGCCAATTTGTAGTGCGTGACCTCGGATTCACCTACACTTCTACGGTGTCGCGATTGGCCGAGGGACAAAGAGACGAATTTACCACTTTCTTTTGAATGGTATGGAATAATTACGTCGTATTCCGGAACTAGAATGTTATGAAACAAGAGAAAATGATAGAAAATAAACACTCAGTCTTAATTTTGCCGCATTTACGTTTGATTCATTTGCTGTATATTCTCCACTCACCTTCGTTGTGTTCTGATACGCCAAAATATTCCAATATTTCTTTCCTCGTCATAATGCGGTGTAAATTCTTTAAAGTGAAGATTGAAAATCATTTTCTGATGGAGTTTCTTTACACTTCAAACAGTACATACATGATCCAAACGTTTGGGATACCCCTTCACCCCTCCCCCCACGCCCCTTCTTTGGTGCTGTGGAGGCCCTGGCCATTCACGAACAAGCTCCCCACTTGTGAGCTCCAGCGAAGAACTCTTACCGTCCATTACAAGGATACAAGGAGAAGAAATTCAAGACACGAAACTTTCCCATTATTGTCGTATATTGTTCGTTTGATTGCCTGCGGCACTGCATATTGTTTTGTTTATTCTGTTCATCTGTTTTTTAGAGTTTATTCTTGTTTATTTGCTTGTTTTAGATAACCACATATGCACATACCTTTGTCGGCGGTCCATGAGCAGAACCTAGGGATAGATAACCAGTGTTGCTGCTAAACGATGAGGTTTTAGATATATGAAACATGAATCGTATCGAAGTCCAATGGCATCATATGATATCAAAGAATATTTTGAACGGCGGTTAGAACCGGCCCCACTTATATCCCAGCCTAGGTCTTGTATTGCAAACTTCTGCCACCCTGCTTTAGATATATTGGTTATTCTGTAGCCTTGTTTGAAGCTGACCATACTGAACCGAGTCTTTCAACCCTTGCAGTTCGATTTTTCGTGACGCCAAAGGCAAACGAAAGCATAACCTTGCACGTTACGCTGACTACACTAACTACTGACCAACCAAGACATTCTGTTTCAAGGTGATATCGTTCAACATACCTCCAGTTGATAACAGAACAGCAAACCACAAACAGACCAACATGGCAGTTTTCATGCTGCAAAACAGAAATGAGAGTGCCTACCTATCAAGTATCTTACTTTGATACTCACGGAATCTTAGATTTCAGCCATTTTCTCTAGAGAGATAGTAAGTAACGTTTTGATATCAGCGTTTCACGATTATAAAGAATAAATCAGCTGCTCTCTTCTTGTGTCGTATACGATCATGGTATTTGTGACTTTCATATTATAAATGGATTATCAAGATGGTGCCTGAAACGGTGACGAATTGTCTTTGAGAGATAGAAAACGAGTAGGGAAAGCCACCGTTTCCTGTTTTTCTGTCTGAGAATTCTGCCCTAATCGATCTTTCTATTTCCATTACTTGTCATAAACGGTGTCGAAGTGTTCATGACCTAAACAGCCACGTATCGTAATCAATCGCCGGGCCATTGTTCAACAGAAAACCTATGATAGTCGACTGCTACATTATACCGCTGTGAACTTCTCATACAGCTGATGGATACATACCTCAGAAGAGCTACCAAGTGCAAGTAAAAATGTTATGGATCCTAAACGGATGGATAGGAGAGATCTAACGACACCACCGAGTTTTTGCTTATGAGCTTATTTGGATGCTAGTTTACTGAACACGTATTTACGTGTATTAGCCGGAGACAATCGATCAGTCAATCATTAGTACATTACGGTACAGTCCGGTAGCACAGGGAGCGAGCCTTTGAAACAGTGGGCGTTCTGGCAGCAATCATGGCAGAATTAAGACAGTTTTATACTCAAATGAACTAAAAAACGGTTTTAATAAAAGTTTATTATCGTCGAACAGAGGCCAATTGCTTTGTTGTCTAAATTTAGTTACCGGCAGTCATCAAACTGATGATTACAGTTACTGTAGTAATGCATTTTCTTGACTGTATCATAAGTGACACGAAACAGATGCAGAGAAAGACGTGCATTGGATATCGCACAGGAGGGTAAAGACGCTAAACACGCTCCTAAGGACGAAACAAGGAGAATGTGTTTAACAACCAAGGGCTTTTTCACTTGCTGATCATTTCCTTCATTCTCATGACCTTAATGTTGGAATTTGGGATAATATTGTAAGGAGAGACTGGATGCTAGTCACTATTAGGGGTTAAACAGTTAAAAACGAGGTTAATTTACCTCCTTTGCAGTTACTTGGGGTGCGTTTGTCGCCTAAATAAGGGCTACATGCAGTACGGTTAAAGTAGCCGAAGATTCCTTAATGTGCAAAGCGCAGGGGTGATTACGCATCTCATTACTAACTCGTCACCCTTATGGGCAAATTACCGCTATTAAACAGTCTTTAAATATCAGGATAATTTCATTCTATATTTCTTTTCTAAAAAATCAAGAAATTTCAACGCAAAACCCTCGCCTGGATCAATCTATTATCAGTGGACAACTATCTATACAAAAAGAGAACACTGTTCCGGTGTAATAATGTGTGTATATAAATCGTGCATTTTTTCATCTATTTAAGCACAATCTTAGTTAGAAGGAACCTTTAATACTCCGTTTCCATTAATAAACACCAAAAACGCCGAATAACTCAAAAGAGAAGATTGACATAGATTGAAAGAGGCAAACTTGAAAATTTGGCACATTTTTTAAACTGTATTGGGCACGATGTAGCTCCTCGAACTAAACCTGATCAAGGTTTACAGCTCAGTCAAAGCCAACTTAACAAACGCGATATCAGCATCGCGTTGAAAATAGTCACAGATTCCAAATTTGATTATCTTAGACCAAGGCAAGAGCACGGTCTCAGCTGGTGTGAAGAGATAAAGAACAGACTAGTAAATGTCTAAACGATCTCAGCACCTCCTACAATAACTGTTAATAGCTGTAGAACTGTGTTCTTAAGAAAAGACGAGCTAGGATCTACCCCTTTGAACCATACATTTACTCATGAAATAACTCTCTGCGATTTACAAGAGGAAGATAGTGAAACACTTTTACCTCTACCTAGAGTGCCAACACAAGTTTAAGAATTAAGATCTGAAAGACACCCTTCATACAATGTATGAATACAGGTAATTTATGGAACGACGAGAGGATCAAGCTCAGAGAAAGAACTGCAGGAAATACAAGCACCTCGCGTGTCACTTAATCGTTTTGGTGGAGAACAAGTAGGGGCCCTCAAGAAACCGCGACAAATAAATCCCCGAGGGATCTCCGAAAACAGGAGTAACCTACAAATAACAACACATGGAAGTGTTCACATTTGAAATGAGGAATTCAGTCTCTAAGCTTCACTCTCTCTTGTTGTATCCTCTCAGAGATTATTGACATAACTTTTCCTCACAATATTAATACGTTATCCTCTGAATATGTGTGAGAATAACAAACCGTATCACTTAATGGGTGTCATTTTCATAAAACACCAAACTGTCTTAACTGAAGCAGCAGGAGATGTCTAGCAACTAAACGCGAGAATTGAAAATTAATTTTCTTCAGTTACAAAGAAAAGCGCCATACTGTATACTGTATATTGGTATAAATCTACTAGCGTTCCATCAGGAAAACAAAAATCTGATTTGCTATGCTACTCGCTCATTATTCCGTTTATATTTAAACAGTTGGAAAAGTGAGTAGCCTCGCAGTGTATGGTTGTAAACAAAATCAAATAAAACATGAGCCTGTCCTGTTGTTTAGTTTTGAATAACTTGAAGATTTATGCTCAAACAATTATATCATTTTCTCTCGCTTTGTATGCGTGATCATTTATTCTTGCTTCGTCCTCAACAGCCATCACGCGATAGAAATCTCGAGCTCATAACATAACTGGGCTCCACTCATTAATGACAACTTTCTTTCTTACTTGTTTGTCTCAAAGAACTTTCCGCTCCCCTAGAAATATTCTCAGATCAATTATTTCTAAGCATGATACATATCCCCCCAAAATAAGCACTGTTTCCCTGGTCTACACTCCTAACGGTTTTGTCAAGAGCTGTATGATGTACTGTAGCTGTTTCATTCTAGACATCGTGAAGATCGCTGGTGTTAAAAACATACTTGATATTGGATACAAAATAAGATTTACACTAATTTCCACACTGGGGTGATTACAGTTCCTTGATCTGTTTGATTAGATAGATTTTTTCATCATTGAACTGCTCATCCTCTGCAAGAAACAAAAATCAAAACTCCATCAAGAAATGCATAGAGAAACGATCTAAGGTCTTAAATCTATCAGGTCATTTCAAGATGAAAGGCATTTTTACAGTAAAAAAAAAAACCTGCCAAAGTACTAAAGCTTCTACAATTTTTCATTACAATTTATCTTTACAACGAGATCCTCATTTAAAAAATCAATGCTGAATTCAAGGTTCAAGATTCTGAGTTGCAAATGAGTCAAGGAAACTAGACTTTCTGACTAATCAGTAAGATTTTCAACATTTCATGATCCCATGACAGTTAATTACCACATTACCTGTTCTGTCATTGTGAAAACTAGTTAGGAACTCGACAAGTTTGTCTTTGTTCTTAACAAGAATTTCCTGGATTGGCGGGGTTTTATTAGGATTTGCAACAAATACCTGTGGAAAGAATAACATAACAACTGAAATCTATGGAATTGAAAAAATACTCCTTAGTCATTTAATACAAAGAAAAACACAGTCACCTAAAGCCAAAAAAACAGAAACAAACAATGAAAAAAAAACCAAAACAAAACAAGAAAAGCTGACTGTACAGTTTAATGGTTGATGCGCTGGGCTCGATGGAGAAGTTTGTGTTTTTAACCCTTTCCACCCTAACATCAGTATACATATTCTCCATACTGTTCTCTGTACATTTACTAAGGTGCTGACAAGGAGAATTTATCTAACAATCAAGAGTTTCTTAAGTTGGTGATCGCTAAAGGGTTAAACCTAGTCAGGTTCATTGTGATGAATTCTTGGCAAAATATGCGACTCACACAACAAGGTTGTCGATAGGTTTGAAAATAGAAGGCAAATAAGGTTTCCAGATTATTGTGGTTGCTGATTACTTTCGTCAGATCAAACACAAGAGTGGGAACCATTCAATAGTGTTGTTAACTGTTCTGTCCCAGGCATACAAGTGAGTATGGAAACTGAGTCACACAACTGAACCTGTTGCTGACAAATTATGCCGATCCAATTCCACCCAGAATAGGGAAATGGCTGCTATGTAAATTTCTTTGATGGTATATTAATCACTGTAC